GATAACGACAGTAATGGTTTCTAAGTACATCTCCAATAGTTTACACCATTTTTTATATCAAAAATAAAGTAACACCAAAATAGTGTTGGATTTTACTCCAATGATTTATACCAATTTTTACACCAAAATAGAATATTTTTAATAGATTCTCTTTTTAATTCTTTAAAATTTACAAATCAACCCCATTTATATTTTAAAATTTAAAAAATTAATTAAATTTAACATTTATTATATAAAAGAAATACATTGTAACATATAAAATAACAAAATATATTAAATTTTTGTATAATTATTATCAAACATATTAGATTTTAGATTTATCAGTATATGTTTTTCATTAATTTTAAAATTGATTAAAATTTAAAAAAATTTTTTATAAATAAAAAAGTTCAACACCAAAATGGTGTAAACTCATTTTTTATACCAAAATAATGTTGGGGTGGAGAAGATTTTACACCAAAAAATAGGTTTGGTGTAAGATTTGGTGTACCATTGAAGATGCTCTAATACTCTCTATATAAACAAACAACTTACAACAATCTAGTTTATACAAGATACACACATCAAAATCTTCTCTCATTCATTCATATCGACCTTAATTGAGAAAGCAGCGTTTTCAAAACTCTTAACTTCGAACAAAATGATGAAGAAGATGGCTTTGGCTTGTCTGGTGTTGTTGGCCCATCAACTATGACTATCTGGTGGACCGCAAGGAAAAGACGTATCATAAAGAAACCTAGAAAACGGAAGAATGGTAAAAACCATAACCATATAGGCTATAAGCTAAGATCAGCATTGGATGCCGTGGTGGTGTGGTAATAAATTAGTCAATGAAAACATCAAGCAAGAAACACGCTTAAAGTTTTTTGTTTGTAGTAGACAAAGAAATTGCAAAAGGCTTCTACTTCAAAACATAGAATCAACTAAACGTGTTCCCTTATAATTGATTATCAATGAGAAAGCTGAACCAATCACCTGCACACGAGTGCCTTTGAATATGACTTGCTTTCTCCCCGCCTTTTTGTTATAAGAGCTTTGTTATGGTTTCACCATCTTCTACCATCCTACGTGTATCTTCAGGGATACAAATGTTTATACAGCTCTTGCTGGAGTGTGATAAATTGTTTCTTGCCGTTTGTTTCCTGGTCCTATAAATAGGGAAGCAAATCTTGTTTGACAAGGGCTAAATAATATATAAATGCAATCAGTTCTTGAGATGGGGGTAGTAATATAATGCCATAATCTAAAAGACACCAAAATACAAAGCCAAGAGAGATAAATCCAGTACTTATCATCAAGATTTTTTTCAAAATTTCCGATAGAAATCTACAGGCTTAACATTAAATGATCAAATCTGGAACAGCAAATGGTGAAAAACAAAAAGAAACTATAACAACATGCACGTAATTTTGAAACAACAAACCAAAGTATAAAATTTGCATTGGTTGGACAAACAATAACGAAAAGTTAGGTTTGCCCATTAGAAATGCAACCTTAAAAATGTCAACGAATCAATGAACATATTTCTAACTACTAATCGAGTCTGATTAACAAATCAAGCACAACTCGGGCATTAGTAGATAACAAATTGATTATGTTCAACAAATAGAGTCTTTCTAATTCTCATCAAAAGATTTATAAATAACAGAGAATCATAAGCATGTAATGAAAACTCTAAAGATCTAGCATGCCTAGGTAGCTTCAGAAGGCTTCAAATTCCATGAAAAGTAACAATACGTTTACACTCACAACTCTGTATACACAAACCACAATGTGCTGGAGCCAAATTCAGAGTTATACTACAGAAATTCCCGGAATCACAAATGTACTTAAAAAATGTTTTTAACTAAATGAATGAAAACCTATTTAGTTTAACCTAGATTATGACGTGAAAAAAAGTTCAATACATACAAACATAACCATAGAATCATGTCGTATTAAGTCGTAATTTTGGGGATCGAGAGAACTACACAAGTAAATTGTCAGGTAAAGGTGAACACAAGGATCACAACTACATTGGTAAAACAGAATTCAATATCAAATGAATTGCATTGACTATATGGAACCCGAAACTGTAGGGTATGCGCATAACCTGAGCCTAAATATACAAAGGCACTATAGAAACAATATACAATCATATCAAAGAGGGTACTTTATAAGAGAAAGAATAAGGCAGTGGCAAGTTTCCTGGGCATTTTACCATGGAGTCTAGCTGATTTCTTCTTCTGGTTTGGCTTTGGCTTTCTCGAAGGATGGAGTCTCAGTCTTGTAGACCTCCTTGCTTCTTTGCTTGAATTCACAAAATCAAAATCTAACTTCCTGCAAAACATTTGTAGGTTCAGGTGAACCTTCTACGAGAAGAAAGAAGTGCGAAGAGAAAAGTGCTCAATCACACACGACGAGTCAACATATAACCAAATTTCAAATTTTACCACCCAGATTGAAAGCCTGAGGTAGATCTAGAAATCATACCATGTTAGGTTTGAATTCCTTAATCTTGTGCACTTCTCCAAATTAGTCTGGCGAACAAATCTGGATCCGATCTTTCTGCACACGAACGGAATACCATTCAGAACCAAACGATATAAATAATCGAAGTGAACGAAATTGACTGGTAATTCGATAACACTTACACTTTGGAGAAACCTGAAAATCAGATTCTGAAAAAACCGTCCCACGAAGCCACAGAGATAGAAAGCGAAGAAACCAAAAAGTAAGAGTTAGTAAACGAAATAGAGAGAGCTCTAGAGGCAAAAAAAAAGGAAACGAATCAAAAAAATTACAATAGGTTGGGTCATAATCCTCTGAACTTTGGTGCTCGCCATGGCTGCAAAGTGTTCTTCGAATCTCGAAACAGTGAAGAAGATTTCTCTCTAAAACCCTAAAAAGAAATTGCAAAACAACTTTGTGATTTTTCTCTTCCTCGCTAGAGATGAAACCGATAAC